CTGCTCTTTCCCTCCCCCTCCTCCCTTCCCCTCCCATAAACAGCTGGAGCACTTCCTGAAACACCAGGTCTGTCACTGGGCCTGAGACGTCCTCCCCCCTGCTGCCTGCCTGTGCAGGGTGGGTGTGTGTGTGTGTGTAGGCGTCCTGGGACCCCCGCTCTAACCTCACACAGCACTGGGGCATGTGTGCTGAGCGGCTGGCTTTAAGTATGAGCTGGCTAGGATGCTGTGCGCAACCCAATCCCCCTCCCCTTCCCTTCCCCAAAGCCAGGCGCGCGCACACACACCCTCTAACCCAAACCCCCTCCTCTCCCAATCTAATGCCCGGATCCCAGAGCCACTGCTGCTACCGCCATGCGAGTCTCCCTTCAGGTCCTGGGGCGTGTACACTGAGTGGCTGGCTTTGAGGAGCATGTGCTGGCTGGGATACCATGCGCACCTCCTCCCAACCCAATCCTCCTCCCCCACTCCGAGCCAGGCACCCCCCTGCTCTAACCCAGGTCCCGGAGCTGGAGCCGCCGCCACTGCTACCACCACGCATCTCTCCCTGCAGGTGCGGGGCACGTGTGCTGAGTGGCTGGCCTTTATCACGCGCTGGCTGGGATGCTGAGTGCAGAGGGCTGACCATGAGCACACTCTAGCTGGGACGCCAAGAGTGAGGGATGGGAGAAGGAGGGACGTGAGTGTGAGCACGAGCAGAGTGGTGTCCGCGAGCATGCACTGGAATGTGACTCAGTGTGGCCCGGCTGTGAGCAACCTCGTGCGGAGTGGCCAGTCTGATGATAATTTTTTAATAAAAAAAATTAATCACGAGACAATTTTTTCATCAAAGAGTCGCATGTGGCTCACGAGCCGCAGGTTGGCCACCGCTCAAATAGGAGACTGATTCTGTGGATAATCTCGCCACAAGAAAATATCATCAGATCTGTGAATTAATACCCTGGGGAGTGAATCTGGCTTCAGCAGTGTCAGATGTAGTGATGGAAAACAAACCAGAGAAATGGCTATTGTGGGTAATGTTAGA